GTGCCGTATAAGCAGGATCAATATGAAAATATTAGCAGCCAGAAAAAGTAAGCCTGCCATCCAAAGCTGTAGGAAGACATTCTTGCCTTTAAACTCAAGCAAGTAACCCCACAACAACCAGTGAGTTTGAGCTCCCATCCACAAAATAATGCAAAATAGGCCTTTCCATTTAAGCTTCATATTGGTCCATGGCAAAATAAGAGGCAGAGGCAAAAGAACCAAACAAAGTACTGTGCTGTTATTACCTGTCCAAGAAGTAAATCAAGAATAAATACAAAATCGTAGATTTTATGTTACCATAATATTCAAGGTTCATAAAGTGAAGCTACGAATGTTAAATTTGCATACCTTATTGAATGCTACAAATGCAACTGTCTGCACAAAGAAGCAGAACACGAGATCTTTTGCAAAGCAGAAAACAAGAACCAGTTGCACTATAAATTGAGGCAAAAAGGAGATGAGCTTTTCCAGAACTGAAAGATCACGTTCATAGTTAAGATAGACATGGTAGAAATAGATGGAAAAATTATGTCTTGGATCCGCACGAGTAAGATGATAGAGCAATGCCTCATGTAGAAATTCCCATCCATATAATCGGAAGAAAAAAACGGTACAAAGGAAGAAAACACTCCCTGAAACAAGACCAAACAAAATTCTTGACCTCGTGAATATGCTTTTAAATGCAGTCCATGCATCAAACTGATCAGTCACTTGTGAATTAATTTGACAAATCTTCCCTTGATCAGAGGTCCAATCACATAACAATGGCTTCACACCGGTTTGAAAAATGCATGGATCAAGAAAAATGATAATAGGAAGCGCATAGATTATAGGGTAAATTCTGAAGTGAACAATAAGACCATACCAACAGGCAGCATGTACAACATTACCTATCAAGAAGAAAGAAGGAAATCAACAGAGGCAACCAAAATAAATCAAGTTAAATTGGATAACAACAAAACTCCTCTTAACGTGGTGCCCAATGCCCCAATCACCGACAGAAAAAACGTAAGACTTGTATTATATATATGAAAACTACTGTAATGAAAGTTTTCCCATTCAGTACCTAACTTGTTACTTTCTGAATGATTAATACTGAAATCAAGTAGGCAATCCAATATAAATGCTATCACAGTGAATCTTTCCCACTAAGCTAGTAGTGCAAGTCTTTTCACTCTTTACTTTTCACTCTCTAAAAAGATGAATAGGATCTTTAAAAGTAAAATCAGAGAGTGAATTGCATTAGAGACACATAATTTATAAAATTTCTCATATCAGCCGAAAAATAAAGGTGGACTTGACCTTTTAAGTTGTTTCCTTTGGCAGGTTAAAATGGCTAGAAGCCGGATTTCCCCTGAATGTAGCAATCCCAATTTAGTAAGAAGCTAATCAAGAAGAACCTAGACAGACCTGCAAATGGAAGGGATCTCTCGGCGCTCTCGTGCTCCCTCAAGATGGATTTAACCTAGAGTCAGATCCAGCATTTCCAGCTGTGTGATATATATCAGAAAGCCAGGCACTCGAGAACTAATTGGCAAACTCAACATTTAAATACTCAAAATGACTACGGATCATGACACTGAAAACCACATCTTAACTACCAAAAATATATAGAAGTAAGCCTTTACCTAAGAGCCATCCTTTCAGAACCCAATTTTTAGAGGCATCTATAGGACACTAATACATATGAGAACAAAAAGGAAGCATATCAGAGTATAAGCAGGCTGACATGGCTTGATGGTCAACACAGTGGTTAAAGTCAACAACAAACTCAGTTACTAAGTTACTATTCAGCAACTTTTCAGTATCTTTGTTACCCTTTCAATTTCGTCGTTAGCCTTTCAGTTTCATTCTTAGCATTTTCAGTTATCATTTTCTGTTTCTTATCTGACCTAGAATCAGCTGTATATAAACAATGTTTACAATGAATGTAGTATTATGTAGAGTTGATCTCTTTGATGGATCACCACCTATCAGAGTTCTCTCAAGTATCTCTATTAACATTTTTTGAACACCTTGTAGTCGTTTGTTTCATCTTCTTCGTCTCAGATAAAATATACATTAAAGAACATATATTTAACCTAAACGGGAATAACAAGTCTGCATACCATTAATAAGACAGATAATAATCCACAAAATCATGGCACAGACAATAGGTTCACAGTTTCCCCGAGTTCCAATTGTGAAGGTGAATGGGTTGAAAAGCCATATCAACATGGAATAAGTGCATAGATGATCAGGCACCTTACGCTGCTTCAATATGATACGGATAAACAACCCAACAAATAAATCTGCAAAACGAGGATCAGAACCAAATCGCACAATGAAATTTATACATGGTTTTTATCTAAAGAATAGGCAGAATCTGCAACAATAAGTTCCCAAGGTGCAAAAGCAAGAAACTTAATTCTAAAATGAGTAAAATTGATGGTGAAAACTGAAAATACCTGAAGCTGAGAAGAGAAACTTGCCCCAAGAACGGGAAATAAAAGAGTTGGGGATCAACAGAAATGCAAGTAAAGGTGAATAACGGTAAGTGGTTCTTTTATAGGGAGAATGACCAGAAGCCATTAAAGAAGCAGCATCAGAAAAAACAATGTAATCCACATCTGTGTATCTAACTTCCATATGGGCATCTTGCCATTCACCATACAGGATTAAACCCACACGGAAAATGGCTGATATGAGGAAAATCGAACGGGGTTCAAGTGAATTCATGGCTGAAGATGGCAATTTTGCTGAAACAAAATTGACCCAACTCAAAGCCTTTTCGCAATCTGATGAAAAGAAAAAAGGGTTTATTTGGGAGTAGACAATCTATGAATCCATGGAGATGAAAGGACAAGAAGTGAGAAAATTTAGATCCATTTGAATAGGCAGTGAGGGTGATATTCAAGAGGATAAATCCAAAAAGGCTTAAAGTATAAATAAGCCTCTAAATTGTTCTCTTTTTTTATTTTAAGCTTTTAAATTACTTTTTATCAAAATAAATCTTTAAATTATTATACTTAATTATTTTAATTCTTTTTACTTTTCTTAATTAGAAAATTTTATTTCGGCCAATAAAACGTTGACATGTCATACAAAATTTGATATTTGTTTTAAAAAAATAGTTTATGGAATTAAAGTAAATAAAAACGCAGTTTAGATGCTTAAAGCAAAAAAAAATATAGTATAAGGACTTATTTTTAGTTTAAGCCATCCAAAAATGCTTAAATTATAGGGTTAATTGTACACAAAGTCACTAAAGTATGAGTAAGTTTATATTTTTCACTGATGTTTTAAAAAGTAACAAAATGATCACTAGTATTATTGTTTTATTATAAATCAACCACTCGACAGTTAACAGTCGTTAACTTTGTAACAGAAGGTTAATATGACATGTATCATAGGAAAAAAAACTTCTACGATACGTTTTATGATTTCGAGTAAGTTTATCACTTGTTGACATCAATAGAAGATTTTCTATTAAGTAATATTTCGATAATAAAAGTCAATCATAAAATATATCGTAATAAAATTTTATCTATTGTTCAAATAAAGCAGAAAATTAATATTTAGGCAAGTGTCAAAATCTTTAGTTATGTTACTCAAAATCAACCTTAAAAGGTAGAAAAATGAATTTGATAAAAGTATATATGTTTTGCAATGAAAGAGAAAGCAAAGCTCCTCCATCAACATGAAACTCACCAAACAATGCAGCAATGTTTCCTTGAAAACCAACCCCAACTAATTCTTTGGTACGTTTAGCATGCGTTTTCACATTTCTTTGGGCCTTTTAAATGGAAAGTAATGCTACCTTTAGTACCATGTTTAGTTTACAAGGTAAATAACTATTTGCACTAAAAATATCATGTCTTCGGGGTTTCTGAAAGGGACTCACCCTTATTCGACTACCTAATTAAATATGGAAAGGGTTTAACTGTTGAAAAGTTTGATCAATTTGCAACGAGGGAAATCACTTGGATTTGCAACAATTAATGTCTTGTTGTGAATCCATAAAAGGGTGATTTATTGTGAACGAAGTCAAAGTATTTTAGATCACATTAAAAATTGTCTAATTTCCAATTGGGAATGAATTAGGAAGATGTTGCTTAGCAAACTCCTCTGCAGAGGGATGGAAAGAATGGAGTCATGGCTGTCTTTAACGGTTAATTTGACTAGAGAGTCATAGATTATTGATTGGTTGATGAGATTAAAGAAGACGATAGAGAGGAAATTCTTGAAGGAAAGAGCCCACTAGTTATCCTTGCATGATTTATATATCAGTCCTTAGTGCTGATGTTAGGCCTAAGGTGATGATGACTATATGTAGGTTGGCAAAGTTAATAGATCTAGTTGTAGATAACATATTTAACTGACAAATCACATTGACTTGTTAATGGTCGTATCAAGGAACTATAACTTGATCGAAGAATATGAAACTCTAGCAACTTCGAATAACTTCAAAGAAATGACAATAACTGCGTAGGTATAACTCGTAGTAATATTACTTGTGAAAAAAATCAGAAGAAGATACAATAGAACGTATTCACGTTCATTTTCTCTTTTATCCCATGTATACCATAGCTACAAAGATCTAATTCCATAATGGGAGACAAGTTATGCAATTATGTGCTAATTATGATTATGAATGATGTAATGAAGCGCTAATCAATTATTCAATTCAATTAGTCCTTAATTAATATTGTCTTAAACTACACACTGAAAGAATTACGTAAGTTAGGAATCATTGGAGTATAGGTTATTCGAAGTGATGCGAAGAAGCTTCTCAAATAATGAATAGCCCTAGTATTAGTAAAGCCCAAGAAAGCATCTCTTTAGAAAATGAGAGACAAAATTAGTACTTTGCTTAAAACATCCTCATTTTCCTTGTCCTAATCCAAACACTGTGGAACTCAAATTGGTTCCTGCTATAAATTCAACTCTTCAATTATCCTCCATTACACCACCTCAAAAACCAGTAGCCAAAAACAAAAGCAAGACCGATCAAACTTTACATGAGCCATGCAAGCAACTCCACGGCAGCGGCAGGGGATACCGTGGCTGGAAGCCGGCACTGGAACTCAGCCCTGTTTAGCGGTGTGGCAGTAGTGCTAGGACTCATTGCCATGGCAATAGTTATTATAGCTTGTTCATGCAAAAAGTCTCCACCCAACTCCAATGGTGAAGCAGCTGCGGAGAGGATAGAAATGGAAATGGAGACGAAGATTGTTGTGATCATGGCTGGTGATGAAAACCCAACGTACCTTGCCAATCCCGTGCCATCCGCTCGTCATTGCTAACAATTTTCACAGTTTTAGAGTAAATCTTTTATTTCATCTTTCTACCTTTCTTTCGGTCATGTAATTTTGTTTCAAATGGATATAGGTGACTATGTATAAAATATAATTATGGAAGCTGAAAAACTGTATCAGAAGTAAGACTAATTAAAACTTTTTGTTTCCGTTAATGCCTCCGATGACCCACTTCTAACAAGGTGCCTAAATGTGAAACACTGTAGCTTGTAGATGCTTAAGCCCAAAAGAAAGCAATACAAACATCATCAAACATTAGAGTATGTGTTATATACATATATAGGGTAAGATTCATTTACATTGTGTATTTTTTTAGATTTTATATAGATTTATGATAGTTGGATTAGTGAAAATAGAAACTTAAAATTAACTCATTGGTTTTGTTTTTTTTTTCAGTGAATATCTTTTCATTTCTTATTGTTAATACTGATCTTTTAATATCAAGTTGTTTACGATTTAAACTAAGTTTTTTAATAAAATATTTTAAATAAACTGCAGAATTTTATCGATTTACCACAGAGACCTTAAATTACAAAAAAAAAAAACTACATGCACATATTTCATCTGAATTCTAATTGTATTTACACCTCTGACGTCAAGTAAAACACCAGAGGCCAAATCTAAGGAAGGTTATAAAATAAAATAAAATAAAAACCCATGTGCGACCCTCAACATATACGACCCTCAACTGTTTGAGGCCTCAGTCTCGTAAGTCGCACCTTGATTGTATTGAAAATAATTTTAAAATATATTTTTCTTTTGAAATACCATAAGAATTTACTTTATATGGTGGTTGCTTTCTCTGGGCGATTCATTGTTTCATTTAGAGAATACAGAAACGATTGGAGCCAGTTATTTTTCATTTCATTTAGGCTGCAGAATGCAATTTCTTTAATATCCGTTTCATTATTTTGCTTTTTAGGAATAAGCGTTGTTTCTTTACTTATTTGTCCGTTCATTATGACTTTTTGTTTACTTATGCAATAAAAGTTGGCTTCCAGATTAAAAAAAAAAAAGAACACAAATAATTTTATGATTATAGGATGTTACTTTATTAAATTTCTTTACTATTAAAAGTTAAAATGATCATTCGACTATACGACAATGTTTTGTTGAGTTTGAACTACTAAAACTTATAAACTATTTATATGTTTCAAATTTGATATTTTTCGTTAAAAATTTGGTTACCATCTGAGCCAGCGCTTGAAACATTATGTCTGCATGTCAACGTTTGAAAGTAACAGTGGTGCCAATAGACATCATTAAAATATGATTTTATCATATCCTAGACAGTAGGTCAACGTGTAGCAATTTTTTAAAAAGAAAATGGCAAGTTTAGAATATATGAATAATCAAATGATCATTTTGTAACTTTTAATGATCGGAGGACTCAACAAAATAATGTCTTATAGCTGGAGGATCATTTTATAACTTTTGATAATTAGGGAACTCAATAAAGTAGCACCTTATAACCGAGGGACCATTTGTATAGTTACCCATATTTATATACACGGTAAAGTGCAATTTCATAGAACATATAGTAATCATAAAAAGAATGGTTGGCAATTGGCATCCGAAGGAAACTTCAAGAATCACCCAGCTATAAAAGGCATTCTAGAGGCATAAAATGTTTAAATTTTGACATCACTATTTTTGTCCTTTTTGAACTATAAATTCATCATCTTCCACCTAACATTACACTACAGAGAGACATGGGGCAGCAAATACAACACTGAGCACCAAACTCAGCGCTACTTCTCTATTACCTTACCTCTTTGGTAGCTTGGCTTTGGTCTTAATTATGATAGCAACTGCATTGCTTCTTCTGCCTTGTTGCTATATGAAATCATATCCCAATGATGTTCAGGTAAAGCAGGAAATGGTGATGGTCCGAGTTGTCGATTCCGAGCCAAAAATCGTACTCATCATGGCCGGAGATGACAAGCCTACCTTCTTGGCTAAACCACTCTCTTCTTCACCATGCTGCTGCGATCAAGTTTGACAAGGCCAAACACCATCTCTCTCCCGTCCCACACCCTCAATTTTGTTTTTACTTTTGTCTTAAATAGACGAGCGGAACATGTGAAATTCACAAGCATTAACATTTTATAAGAAATCAGAGTTTAATTTGGCCTGATACAGGCAATTTTTTTTAAACGTGTTTCCTTCATATAATTTTGTATTAGTTTATATTTTAACACAGGTTGAAATTTATATGGAATAAATAAGCTAATTAATAAGTTAAGGTCCATGGTTTAGTCTGCGGTGCATGTCCAATATCAAAAGGAAAAGTGAGGCATAATCATTTGTGATCAATGGCTTATGAGCTTGGAATCCAAGTACTATTTGTTTTTGGAGTCAGGTTTTTTTTAAGAAAATTGGAGAGTTCATAACAGGGTGAGATAAAAAAAAAAGGGTTAGTGTTAAATTATAAACTTTTTGAAATATGAAAATACAATTTTATTATTATTCTAATTTAAATTTTTACATTTTAAACTAAATTAAACATGATAAATTTTAGGTTGAAAGTGTAATTTTATTATTATTTTAGTTTCAAAATCGGAAGGATAAATTTATCGGCCCTCTTTAGTATATGATAAAACCCAATTTGGTTTTGGGATTAGATAAAACGATTTCTTGAATTGGGTGGGAAAATATCACATTTATTACAAAAAGCACAGTATCCAAATTAACTTTTCGCATAATACTAGAAAAAATAGACTTTAATATTTGAGTAAATAATCATTTTAGTTTTTATTTTTTAAAAATAATTTAGCCTCTAATATTTTATTTTAAATCAAAATGATCTTGATTTTAAAGAAATCGTTAATTGACTAATGATCAATGCTTCATAGTGACCGGACAAATTTACGTGAACTAAAATGTTGATATACACTCATTGGTTATTCAAGAAAAGACCCATATATACATTGTCACACCCCTAAATTTTTAGTTTTAAAATCTTTTCAATGTAATTAATTTATTTGGGGATCAAATTGAAATTTTCCGAGGACTCAGGGGTCTACTAGTAAACTCATGGTAGTCCAGGGCCTTAAGTCCAAATATTCCCATTTTCTTTGACCAGATGATAAAACTAGAAATAAAAAAAGGTGGTTATTGAGGTTTGACCCTTGTTTAGAGGCATAACCATCCCCTACCAACTAAGCAAGCTTACTATTTGAAATTTATTTAATTAAACTACGTTTTAACGTTATCTGACCCTTTTTTATAATCCCAAAATTATTCTCCCATATCACACTTTAAAAACCCAAATCTCTAAGTTTGTCGTCAAATCATTACCGTCAATTCAGCGTCATCTGATCGTCATGGCTTACACCGCCATATCATTCTGTTCGCTGTTGTCCAGTGACAATAACCCAACCAGCAATCGTCGAGAAGCAGAGTGATTCGTCGTTGAGAGCCAGCGAATGGTTCGTCGGAAAACCAAGTCAGTCGCCACGGTTTTCTCAAATTTCAACCGATCTAGTCTATTGTTCAGCACATCGTCGCACACGGTATCATGCGCCACCAATGTGCGTGGGCTTCTCGGCCTGTCCATGAGCATACTGGAATAGGTTTGCTCAAATCAAACCGGTTAAGTCAGACCAAACCGGGTCGAACTGAGTCAAATCGAATGAGTCAACATGTTGACTTTGATCAAACTTAACCGTTGACATGACCATTGACTTTAATCGAAGTTTACTTTGATCAAAAAGTCAAAATTTTTAAAAAATCATATTTTATATTTTTTCGACGTCCTAGTCTTAATTCAAAATTTGTTTCGTCAAATTCTAACTTGAAAACCTTCAAATTGGCCATTAAACCTAGACATACATATGTACTTAAGTATTTCATTGAAGCGTAATTAAATTAAGGACAATGACTAATTTAAGATGTTGTTTATTGAAGATACTTGTGACTCCCCCGATTGTTCTACAGCTTGACTAAGCTCTTCTCGATCCGTTCGACCCCATGAACCAGTGATTGCCCATATGATCCGTGAACCTTAAAAATATTTAGATTAAAATACTACTTCAATAGTAACTATGTTTTTATTATGATCTAGGTTTGAGCACTGTTTCGAAGCGTATAGACGCAGGCGCTCAATAGACTCACATACTAATCCCCTTTTTGCGAGGTGTGTTCACTGTGTGTTATATGATTGTTTTATCTTTTTTGAAATATGGTTTGTTATCTGGTTGGTTTACGAATATTTTAACGTTTGATATTCTGATTTACCAAATTATTAAATTACCCTTTAAGAATTATGGTTGCTTGATATATGATCTCTGGTTACTTGTTTTCATTGGGAAATATTATTACGCTTGATTATGGATAATGAAATTTACAATTTACTATATGGTTTGTTTTATTGAGATATTGTTTGAGTAGGATTATGGAGTATGGAGGTTTAGTTTTGATCAAGCTGTTAATTCCTTATGGACCTAAGATGACCCTTGGGTGGGCTCTGAGGTCCCAAGATACTCTCTTATGTTGGCTTTTATACCTAATTGGTATATGATAAGTCATTATAGATACAGTTCTGGTAGACTGCATTTCGGTGTTCAGAAGGAGTGTAGTCATGAGTTATATAGTATAAAAATTTACTATGATTGTTTTGATTACTTTATTGAATTACTTGCTAAATATTTTTCTTATTACGTTTTATTTGCACTATTGAAACACACCGAGCTTCTTATCTCACTCCCCAAATCAGATTCTTTTGGATAGACACTCTTGACTTGGCACTTGGAGAATCGACACATCACCTATAGTACCTTTTTGTTGTAATGTTTCTATCTTCTAGACTGCCTTTATTTGGTGACATATGCCTGTATTTTGAGTTACATATTTTCTGACGTTTATTATTTTTACTATTGTAGTACGAATTACTTTGATGCTAATTATTTACTATTTTGTAATTATTATAATATTTTACACTTATACTACTGTTTTGAGCGATACCGTGATTGTAAAATATTGAAGAATATTTTGAAAATTAAATGCAATCCGTTAGGTCTAATCGTAATGTATAAGTAGGGTATGGGGTTACACACATGAATCTAATCAACGTGGGAGTTAGTAATGTAAATCTTACACTGATTAAATATTTAGTTTTTTAAAATGTTTAAATATATATATTTTAAACATATTGGGTGATTTAAAATAAGATCCATATATACTTTGTTACTACTCAGACCTGTCTTGTGCTGACATGTGATATATATTGCATGCAATTTTTCATATTTTAACAAAATTTATTTAATTTATTTTTCGTTAATTTTTCATTTTTCTTCATCTTAATCCTTGGTAGTGTCAACTTAGTTATGTATTGCTTAAACCCCAACAAACGGATGCTTCATCAATCACACTTTTTTTTGTAAGAAAGTAAAAAATATATTTAATCAATCGTGTTTTTAGACTTTTGGTGTCACATTGTAAAAATATACTCAATCACTCGGTCTTTTTTTTGAATTGATAATGTGTGGCGGTCTTAATATACGGTTAAAAAAATATTATCGGTTTTATTATTATTTAAATAATAAAACTGATAAAAATTACCGGAAATATTGTTATCTCTACAAGTTTTGTTATTGTTGGACATTTTACCGGTTTTGTTAATAAAACGGGTAAAGCGATATCGATTTTGTTATTTTTTCTACCGGTTTTATTATTGTTGGACACTTTAAAAAACATTGATGTTTTATATAGAAATAATAATATTTTAAGTAATTTTTACCGATTTTATTTTTTAAATAATAACAAAACTGATAATGTTTTTTTTAATTGTATATTAAAAATACCGTACTGTAGAACTTCCCGTCTTTTTTAGATCTTAGAAAGAATTTTTTTTAGATATATCATTGAAGATAAGTGTCAGTTTTATATTCGATATTTGAAAGTAATATATTTAGATAACTTAATCATAAAACTTTGATTTAATTACAATTTTTTAACAGAGAAATAGTTGAGTGGATGCGCCGTGAAGGGAGGAAAGTATATAAGAGCAGTTGTCATTTGAAAATTTTAAGTTTACTTATATTTTAGATTTTTTTATATTTTTTATTTTCATCCTTAAAATGTTATAGATTTGTCTTCCTTTAAACTTTTATATATTCATCTCTATAACATAAAATTATATGTCCATCGTATGGTCAAAATGAGAAATGATGTTTGAGCTGAAAGGAAAAGAGAGTAATTATGATGAGTTTGGGACTGTGATTGAATGAATGGTTGGTGTTGCAGGTTTATGTTTGGTATGGATATATGTTTTTAGGGTGCGTTTGGTTCACGGAATGTAAGGTTATCAGTGGGAATAAAAGATTACAAGAGAATAGGATTACTGAGAATGTTGTATTTTGTGTTTGGTTGGTTTAGCAGGAATGTAAGATTACCGTGTTTGGTTAAAGGAATAAAAAATTATTAGAATGTATATTTGACCAAATTATCCTTATTATATATTTGTATAATATTACAAATTGTAAAATATTTATATATTTTCTTTAAAAAATTAAATTCATAATATTTATATATATTTTTTTACAAAATTAAAAATATAAAAAAGGTTTAATGAAAGAATAAATTTTTTTAACCTCTGAACTTCATATAAAATTTTAATTATAGATTTTTTTTTGTAAATCTAAAATAATTTAAGGATAAATTTGTAATTTAACCTTCGTAAAATTTTTATTATTCAATGACAGAATAATGATATTTTTGAAAAAAAATAAAAATTTAAAGGCATTTTAGTCCAAAACGCCGGTAATGTTACAATACCTAAAGGAATGGGAGGTAATGATATTCCCGGTAATATACCCCAAAAAATCTACTATTGGTAATAAAACATTACCGGGAATGAGATTCCCGGCCAACCAAACATGGGAATGTAGGATTCCCATACCATGAGAATTTCACAATCCTTGAACCAAACACCCCTAAGATATTCTTTTAATCCCATCACTTAGCACTATGTATGGTCAATAATAGTCTTTCCTATATTATTCTCCACCGTCATAATTACAAAAATATATATATATATATATATATATATATATATATATATCTAATACAAAGCATTTAATATGAATGTAAATAAATAAACATGTAAATGGAAAAATAAACCCGTCTAGGCTTGGGCTTGGTCTTGGGCCAGTCCACATAGGCTTGTCAGTTCAAAGAAGGCGGGTTAGATGCGCCAGCTCCAAGTCTGACGTTCGGATCTTACAAAAGCCAGAAATAAGATATCACTGGCAAATTTAATTTAGGGGAGAAGTTTGATCGGGTGGGTTGATACATTAATTTAATTAGCTTTTTAATTTTTAATATTCGAAATTGAATCTATTTTATGATAAAAATCGATTCTACTAAATCAATTTTATTTGCTCGGTTCAGTTGGTAAGCCGATCTAATCTATTTTCCATATAGAAATCATTTTTCTGAAAAAAGAAAATTACATAAATTAACTATATTATAGTTAATACTATTTGATTACACAAACCAGAAAATTAGATTACTAAATTATATGAATGTGTTGAGTTTTAGTTTAGATAATATATTTGGATACGATTTTAATTTTTTAATAGTTTGGGGTGATTATAAAATCAAAAAATATATTTAAAATATTTTTTAATCTTCGATAATTTACACAATGCAAACACAGTTGTTCGAACTAGGATATCGGAGGAGAACAACACTCTCTTTCATCATTTAGATGATTTGATGAATTTGGATTATAATTTTAAATTTAAATATTTACAAAATATATAAATTTAATAAGTATTTTTAAAGTCAAATAATTAGGTTTTGGATTTCAAAACTAAATTGAACCGATTTAGTCATTTTTAATTAATTCAGCATGTAAAACGTGAGAATGTGGAACTTCATTTGAATGAAATTAGTATAATAATTCTCACACGAAACCACAGTGGCGAAAGGTCGGTGATCAGGGAGAAATCTGCATGCATAATCCATAGTGTTGCCCCGGGTCCTAGCTGTCGGTTGACAATGAAGATTTGATTTCTTTTTACTGCAACCTGCTCATCGATTACTGTCTATACCTAAATTATAAGAATAAATTGATTCACAGAACTTGATCGAATATTAAGGAGAACGAATGAGTGAATTTATTAGCTAGGGTTTATAGCAATCATTATGTTCTTACAGCTAGTTAACAATTAACTTTGATAGTTGAAAGCAAGCCAATTTAACATGTAAACTCTGAAGCTTTTACAGTGCCTAGCCCTGAAGTAAATGTTCACATGATTCACGATTGAGTCATAATCTAAACTGGGAACATGTAAGATCTTGGGATTAGACAATAAGGCTTTGGTTTTCCTTATTCACCTAATTTGCACTGTATGAATTTCGGCCTCAGTGGAATAGGTACTTACCCTACAGAATTGGAAGCTGAAGAAGATGAAAATTATTATATTGGTATAAAAAAATTACTATACTCTTCAGAGTAAATAAGATGACGATATACTAGAATTCCCAGTTTCTTCATTCATACTCTCACCGCATTCTAATGGATCCTCTCAAACAGTTTCCGAGCACTGAAGAATTTAGTAACATCGAGTCGGGGTGGACAAGGTACTTGGCTTTTTCTTCCGTGGAAGATGATTTCAGATGGAGGGAAGACAACATCAAAGATGATGATGGTGAAGAAGCCAGTGATGATTCGACGGTATCCGATGCCTCGTCTGCCCCGAGTCGGCATCGGTATGAACACAAGGATGATCAAGGTAAAGGTAGTCAAGGCCATGGCCATGCTAATCTCAAGCATGATAAGGGCGATTATTCTTCATGCAAGGAAGTAAAGAAAGAGGTTGAAAGGGGCGCCAAAAACAGTGGTGAACCCAAGCAGAGACTCCGCAGTCGACCGAAACATCAGGCTGAGAAAGTCTGGAAACATCACAAGTAGTTGCTGCTGCAGACGAGAGAATAAGTATATGACCACACAGAATGTTGTTCTCTTTCCGTACTTCGATGTGATTTTTTGCAATGTTTTTATGATTCCGGCAACAAACAGTCGGCAAACTTCAGTTGATATATATTTGAGAAATAAACTTCCGAAAATATATTCACTTAAGTTTATAATAAAAAAATTTAAATTACAAAATATAACTTTTTTTAAAATTTATAATAAAAGTGCACAAGGGAATGAAATACAAAATATAAAATCAGATATTAATAGATAATAAAAAATATTTAAATTATATAACAATTTAAAATTTGTAGAGAATATATATCTCCCAACACCCCTTCAATTTAACTCAAAAAAAATCATTGAGATAATTCATATATAATATGAACCCCATTCGTATCAGAAAAACAAAGTTGTTAAAGCCAAAAGATTTAATATTTTATGTTCATCCCGAGTGATGTTAGTATCTACTAGACAAACATTGTAATGATATTATGTTTGTTTCCAATGGTTAAGGTAATTATGCATACTAGCAATTACAATTCTAGTAGACGTGTTAGGATAAACGATGATTAAAGAAATAACTTCGTAAACAAAAATATTAAATTTTATGTGAAATTTTTTAAACGAACAAAATCATAGGTAAGAGTGAGAGAAATTGTATTATGTTGGCAACAAATATAAAAGGATTTTACTAAGGTACATCAAGCATTAAAATTCTATTTACATATATATATTTGTTCATCAAACTCGAGAATCTCCGAATCCATTACAAATCTATGAAACTTGTTGCATTATGCATACTATTTAGAGCAGAACCTGCTCTAAATATTTTTCACTTATTTATTTGTTAAATTGATAGGATTTAGATGAAAAAATTAATGATTATTGATTTGTTCAAGTGAATATGAATGTCACATAGTAATATACATGAATTCATTGTTGACATTATATTATTTTTATTTTATATACCATATTAATAAATAATTATAAAATATAAAATATTTTAAAAGTAAAAATATTTTTAAGTGACAAACTTGACTCGTACTGGAGTCGAGAAACAACACAAGCAGCAGAAAACACAACAAACATATTAAGAGACGGTCTAATTCTCAGCTGGATTTGAGAAATGAAGCCGAAATCAATTCTAGGGACAACACCATGGCATGGCTCAGTCTGAGTCCATGAAGTCCAGAGGAAATGTTATTACACTTATTCAGACTTTTAGAGTGTACCTTGGAGTAGACTTAATTCTTAAGCTGTTTGGCTATCTTGAACCATTCAGTGTGGAAAGATCCCTCCATATCAACCCTTTCATAAGTATGTGCACCAAAATAATCTCGTTGAGCCTGAACCAAATTAGCTGGGACTCGCTCCCTCCTGTATGTGTCGAAATAAGACAGACTGGATGACATGCCAGGAGTGCTAATACCCGAATTGATGGCGAGACAAACAACTCTTCTCCAAGCAGATTGTCTGTCAATGATTTCCTTTGCAAACTCCGGATCAACCAGAAGGTTTGCAAGATTTGCATTTCTATCATAAGCCTTCTTGATTCTGTCGAGAAAAATAGCTCTGATGATGCAACCACCCTTCCATATCCTAGCCAGTTCTCCCAACTTCAAATCCCAACCTTTCTCGATGCTTTTCGCACGAATGAGATTCATGCCTTGAGCGTAACTACAAATCTTGGATGCATAAAGCGCTTGCCTTACGTCATCGATTAATTTCGACTTGTCCACAGTTTGGTCAGTCAAGACATCACTGAAACCTCCTGATTTGAAGACTTTAGCAGCTTCAACTCTTTCATCCTTCAATCCACTGAGGAACCTTGAATCCAAAGATGCTGCAATGGTTGGAGCCGCAACAGACAAATCGGCCGCTTGTTGTACGGTCCATTTACCGGTACCCTTCATGCCAGTTTTGTCCAAAACCTTATCAACTAAATAACCATCTCCCTTGTCATCCTTAATTCCGAAAATATCAGCAGTGATTTCAATCAAGAAGCTCAAAAGCTCCCCCTTGTTCCATTCTGAGAAAACACTTTTAAGTTCTTCATTCGATAAATTTCCAACAGATTTTAGCACATCATAAGCCTCTGCAATCAGCTGCATATCACCATATTCGATTCCATTATGAACCATCTTGACAAAATTACCAGATCCGCCTTTGCCAATGTAAGTCACACAGGGGCCACTATCTGGGACTTGAGCTGCAACCTTAAGCAGAATGTCTTCAATGTTTTTGTAAGCTTCAAAGGACCCTCCAGGCATCAAAGAGGGACCACGTCGTGCACCTTCTTCACCACCTGAAACTCCCATTCCAAGGTATAACAAACCTAGTTGAGACATCTCTTTCTCTCGTCTTTCCGTGTTTTCATACCACTCATTGCCACCATCAATAATACAATCACCTTTCTCCATGTATGCAGAGAGAGTCTTAATGGTTTGGTCAACGGGAGCACCTGCCTTAACAAGCATGATTATCACTCGAGGTTTCTGAATTGACTGAACAAAAGATTCAGGATCATGGAAACCAAATACAGGCAAATCGCCTTCCTGTTTAGCTCTTTCAACAGTCTCATCGACTTTGGAGGTCGTTCTGTTATAAACAGAGATAGGGAAGCCTTTCTCAGCAATGTTAAGTGCAAGATTTTGGCCCATAACAGCCAAACCAGCAAGTCCTATTCTTGTAGGAGGAGCCATATTTCTCCCTGCTTGATTTTGATAGCATTAGTGAGATACCAAAACAAGATTTAACATGAAAATAAAGAACGATCTAGAACTTAAAAACAACTTCTCATATACTTTTTTTAACATAACCACCAAAACGATAAGGGGAATGTCCCTGAAACTAGAATATTTATCACATAGGAACAAAATCTTTGGAGTCTTCAAGATAAGATTAACCAATAAAGGTGAGCCTCACATTGTAAGAGTTCCAATTATATTTTTAGGCAAATAGACGAGCTATATATATCACAGGTAGCCATCCCAACAATGGTAACCGGCAAAAAAAAAACTCTTGCATGCAAAATTAACAGTTCTGTTTCGGTTCACATTTTAAGATCTTTTACAGCAAGTTGATTGTTTGACAAAGAAAATCAATTAAAGGACAAAACATGATTGTGTTCCACAAGTCAATGGATTAAACCCTCATTGGATAATTAAAGGTTTTTCTTAAACAATCTAGAACACCTGTAGAAACACTATATTATTTTTGTTCAGAAGCTATCAGATAAAAATAAATTGAATACAAATAAATAAATACTTCATCGAAAATAAGATCATGTTTATCAAATTCATCAAATAACCAAATAATAAGGCAAAGAAAATAAACAGACTTATCAGATACTACAGGAAACCTAACCCAATACTAAATTCGTTCATGCAAAACCAAGCTACAAGCTAATAAAATTAAACTAACAATAGAAAAAAAAAATCAATCATCCAAGACGATATGAACTCAGATCAGCAATTCTGAATTAAAAAGGCAGAAAGACAATTATTTTGCTTAATTAAAAAAAATTAAAGCTAAAAACCAAGAAAGACCACAAATTTGGAACAATATTGAAATTGAACATAAGAAAACGAACGCAAACCTCAAAAGTCGCTTCTTTTTCTAGGTTTTTGAACGGGAACCCAGAAAATGGAATAATAGATATGAACTTTTGAGAAAATGAAGCGATGGGTAATAACGCAGTTGGTCAAATATATACATAGCGGAAACAAAACCATCTAGAGCGAAGAGGGTCAAATTTGGCCACTTATCAAGTTATCATGATGTGCGGTAGGTGGAACAACAACAACAACAACAATAAAACCCAATTCCCATATGTATGGGGTAAGGGGAGGTAGGGTAGTAGGCTACCCCCAACGCCAGGTTGAGAGTAACTTCCGTGGAAGACCTCCGGCAGTCAGAAACTTAAAAATTTAGATAAAATGCAATGCATGTATAAATAAATACATAAATACATAGCTAAACAGTATTCATATGCAGTCATTAAAATCATATGTGCGTCTGTAACAGGAATTAATCCCTGCATAATTATCCCTGCGAAAGAATCTCTGCATATAGACATGAAACATGAAGAGAATGATACACAGAAGTCAATAGCAAGCCCAGTTCTAATCCTTCATAAATACCAATAACAGAAACGTATAAAAAGTATAAGTCATGGAAAATACTACAAAGACATTAAAAGAAGACAGAGATGATACACCCTATAGATGTGACCCACACTACTCCACTACCCTAGTCTTTAGCCTCCATATTTTCCTATCAGAGGTCATGTCTTCGGTAAGGGCTAAATCCCTCAAATCAGATCTCAAGCAGTCTTCCCACTTTCGCCTTGGTCGTCCTTTCCTTTTGGCACCGGCGACTGTAATCGACTCTACCCTCCTTACCGCATCCGACGGTAGTCGCCTAAGGACATGCCCAAACCACCGTAGTCTTCCCTCCCTCAATTTTTCGGAAACAGACACCACCCCCAAGGACATCCTAATAGCAGAGTTTGTCGTCATATCCCTCATAGTCTTACCACATGTCCATCGAAGCATTCTCATTTCTGCGGCCTCAATCCTCCTTACGTGATCCTTCTTGGTTGCCCAACATTCTGATCCATACAACAGCGCTGGTCTTATTGCCATTCTATAAAATTTTCCCTTAAGTTTTAGAGGGACCTTCTTGTCACACAGAACTCCAGTAGCGGCCCTCCACTTTAGCCATCCCGCCTTTATACGGTGTGTAACGTCATCATCTACACCCCCATCTTTATGTATCATAGACCCTAGGTACTTGAAACAATCCTTTGAGGGGAGAACGTGTCCTTCTATGCATACTTCTACATCTTCATCGTTTTGGTTCTCATTGAAGTTTGAACATAAATACTCTGTCTTTTCAATATTGATCCTTAAACCTTTTTCTTCCAAAGCAGTCTTCCAGGTAGCCAGTCTACTATTCAACTCAGATTTTGTTTCAGCAACTAAGACAATGTCGTCAGCGAAAAGCATACACCATGGTACACCGTCTGGTGTCGCCCAATAGATGTCGTCCATGATCAAGGCGAAGATGTAAGGGCTAAGAGCCGACCCCTGGTGGAGACCGATTTCCACCGGGAATGCTTCGGTGTCGCCAACTGTAGTCCTGACGTAAGTAGTAGATCTACAGTACATATCACGAATCGCCCGGATATAAGCAGTTGGGATCCGTCTCGTTTCCAAAGTCTTCCAGATCGTATCGCGGGGAACACTATCATAAGCCTTCTCAAGGTCAATGAACGCCATGTGAAGATCTCTAGACTTTTCCCTATATTTCTCCATAAGCCGTCGAAGTAGATGAATCGCCTCCGTGGTAGACCTGCCTGGCATAAAGCCAAATTGGTTTTCCGAAACCCTAGTAACTTGTCTCAACCTAGCCTCTATCACCCTTTCCCATAGCTTCATGGTATGGCTGAGGAGTTTAATACCTCTGTAGTTACCACAACGTTGAGGATCTCCTTTATTTTTATAGATTGGTATCACCGTAGACTCTCTCCACTCCTCTGGCATCTTGGCAGTCTCTAGAATAATATTAAAGATGTTGGTCAACCACTTAACTCCCTCTTCTCCTAGGGCCAACCACACAGTGATAGGAATTTGATCAGGACCGACAGCTTTGTCCCTTCCCATCTTTCTAAGAGCCATTTTGACTTCCTCAAACCCAATCCTACTTGTAGGGCAGTCATTGGCCGTAGTATGATAGTCGGTTAACCCATCAGCGATACTATCTCTACATGGAGAGGCACCGTCATTAAATAAGCTAAAGAAGTAACTACCCCAAACCCTCTTAATATCGTGATCTTTCGCTAAAAGAACACCATTGTTGTCCTTAATAAACCTAATGTTACCTAGATCCTTTTTCCTAATCTCCCTAGATTTTGCAAGTCTGAAGATGCCATTTTGTCCTTCCTTGGTGTCTAATCTCTTGTACATTTCCTCGTATGCCTTATCCTTTGCTTTAGCTACCGTTTTCTTGGCTTCCCGCTTTGCCTCCTGGTATCTTTGTTTAGCTCTCGACCTTTCTTCGTCGTCATTGCATTGTAGAAACTCCTTGAAGCAAGTTTGTTTTGTCTTCACCTTAGTTTGGACTTCGTCGTTCCACCACCACGATTCTTTATGTTCCTTGGCCTTCCCCGTCGACAACCCAAGGGTATTTTTGCCAACATCTCTGATGGAATTTGCCATATTTTTCCATAACATATCTGCATTTTTTGAGTTTGTAGTTTCAAAACTAATATTAGACAAAACCTTACTCCTAAAGTCATCAGTTGTCGCTCCATGTAAGTTCTTCCAGGGGATCCTAGGTTTACCAAGTTTAGCCCTCCTATGAGTGCTCCGCCCGTGGGGTACGCGATACACCAAAACCAACAATTTGTGTTGTGATGCACATGCCTCTTCAGGGAACACCTTACAGTCAATGCAAGCCCATCGTTCCTGATTTCTAATCAAGATGTAGTCGATTTGGGTACAATGTCCCCCGCTATGAAACGTAATCAAGTTCGCATCTCTCTTATTAAAGAAGGAGTTAGTGATCACCAAATCGTGAGCAGTAGCAAAATCAAGCAACGTACGCCCCCCATCGTTCCTGCTACCATAACCGAAACCCCCATGAACACCGTCATACCCGTCGGTTGCACTTCCTATATGGCCATTGAAGTCTCCCCCTATGAAAACTCTTTGGTCCTCCGGAATGCTCCTAAGTATATCATCTAACTGATCCCAGAAGCAACGTTTCTCCCCCTCCCTAGGCCAACGTGTGGGGCGTACACTGAAAGGACATTCACTACTTCCTCTTCTATAATAACCTTAATCATCATGATCCTATCCCGGTATCTGCAAACTTCAACTACATTTTCCTTGTGCCTAGAGGATGCCAAGATACCCACCCCATTTCTAGCGTTATCTACGCCTGAATACCACAACTTGTACCCATTACACTCTCTTGCGCGAGACCCTTTCCACCTAGTCTCCTGAATACATGCAAAATCTATTTTTCTATTATTAAGTACGCCGGTCAGCTCCAGCAGCCTAGCATTTAATGTGCCTACATTCAGCGAGCAAACTCTTAATCTAGTCTCATTGTCACCACTCTGTCGAGCCCTCCCCCTATACGCCCCATGGGATCTAAAAGAATGACATGACCTCAAGTAAGCATCTGTAACCGAAGCTATGAGGAACTATGAAAAAAGAAACCAAATAAGACAGAAGATGCACTAATAAAACGCTAGAGAATTGAGGAGTACTAAAAATCCTAGTTGGTTACTTAATAGGATTTTAAGAAAAATAATACTATCTTATTTAACTATAGGCCAATATCTAGAAACTATAATTTAAAATGTTTAATAAATATCCGAGCTAAGCAAAAAAGGATTAAAATTGTAATACGAGATATAAGAGTAATGAAATCCTACTCAACTAATTGAAAAACATCAAACCCAAAGCTGGTAAAAAAAAGATCAATATAAAAACAAGAGAAAAAACAGCAAGAAGCTAAGTCAAAGAAAGCAGATCCAACAACAACAAGATTAAGAAATATTAAGTACAAAAATATGCAAGGGATATGCAAAACAACGACAGAGCTAAAAGGGATATATCAAAATTCGTGGATGCGAAATTAACAATCTTTGTTCAAATAAAAATCTGATAAAAACCGTGCTATAACACAAAATCAAACCTTTACCTATCAAGAAATTAGCATGCAAAATCTTATGAAATTAGAAGAAAAAGAGAAAACCCAGAATTTTTGTTCAGAAATTAAACGTTCAACGAATCGTTCATGAACCGTGCGACGAGAAATTCATTTATGTGTGTTTATTTATTAAATGAACGAACATAAATAAAATTTTGTGTTCGTTTAATTAAATGAACGAACATGAATATATGTCGTTCGTCCATTTACGTTCGTGAACGTTCGGTTATGTTCATTTATGTTCGTTTGATTATGTTCATTTATTTATGTTTAACACAATCTTCTTAAATCAATTGGTGATCAATTTGTAAGTTATAATGTTATATTATAACTTTAGATTTTTTAAAATTACATTATAAGCACGAATATTATAAGCACGATGGTTCAGTGGCATTGTTGAAGCAATATCTCACATTGTGGAAGTACATGAGTGGACCACTTATTTGGCATTATAAATAAAAGGCAACTACCTCCTTTCAACATATTTACATAGACTGGGTCAATCGAGCTTGAATCGAGGTTAAATCGAGCTCAAAATCAAACTTGAATCGAGCTCGAGTCGAGCTTTATTCGAGCTGATGAAATTTTTTTGAGTTCGAGTTCGAGTCGAGTTTCATTATTATATTTCGAGTTCGAGCTGAACTTGATAATTTTAAGCTCGCGAGTTTTCGAGTCGAGTCAAGCTTGCTCTTAAAGTTTTCGAGTTCGAGTCGAGCTCAGCAATACTCGAGCTTGACTCGGCTCGTTTACACCTCTAGAAAGAACAATGGAAGGTAAGGTCTTCAACGTTTATGTTCGTGTTCGTGTTCGTTTATTTATTAAATGAACGAACATGAACAAATTATATTCTTTAATAAAAAAACATAAACTAATAAACAAACATGAAAAAAAATTATTCGTTTATATTCTTTTATTTATTAAATGAACAAGTGTGCGTTTGGTTCATTTAGGCTACACCGAAACAAATTATAATT